GATAAAAAACCCGTCATGCGCAAGAAGAAAGAAACAATGGAGATTGAGTGAACTTCTTTTGGTTATTTTAATGAAATTCGCGTGTACCTTTCTCCGTATGTAAGTATCTGCCTGCCAATGTCTTCTGATGCAATCATCTGCAGAGGACGTATGTTGACTCGTTAGTAACATCTCATTGTTTGAACTGAATAAACAAAACGGCAACGGTTTTTATCTTTAGAAAGAGGGTCAAGAGAAAAGAATACCCGAGATTCCAAATTCATCAGAACTGCAGATTTTGTGGTTGCCTTGGCGCGATCGAGATGCTTCTGGTTAACTGTCCAACATATATAAACAGAAGGGAAATGTTTCATGTATATATAAAAAATGGTTTCAGCTAGTTAGATTCGAAGGAGGTAAATTAAGTGAAAAGAGCAAGAAACAAAATGCAAACCTTTTCCTCCAGCAACATTTTTCAGTTCTTCAGCTGCTAATTCAATTGCTTCTGCAGCGAATTCAGGAGTCTGCACTCAAGGATGTAAATGATATCACAATATAACTTAATACTCTCAGAATCGGTATTCTTTTTGTATTTGTGTCATCAATGGGGAAATGCTGGATCATCCACAAAAGGAAAAACTTAGTGAGCAACATTTTGTTGAAACTCACCGAGCAACCATAGATGCCAAACAATCCGGTGTTGTTGAAGATGCTGGTGAAAGCAGTGCATGACTGAACTTGCTGATATTTGTTTAGAATACGGAGATCTGTAACCAGAGATAGGAACTTGTATCACTAATATTGATCGCTTAGCAGTGCTCGAGAATGCTTCAAGAACTAGTTCAATTAAGGCGAAATAAGAAAGCTCAAAACAGGAATAAAAACACAATATTTGACTTACAGAGCCACGAGTGCATTCCTTTTCCAGGGCCTCCAGCTGAGAATGATCCACCTCCTCCCATAAGCATCTAATAGCAAAAATATTTAAATTATATTGAGTCTTCACTAGTGTCTAGAATTTGATCGAAACACGTGAAAATTATACCAAACATAAAATTAAACATTCAATATAAATACCTGGAGAACAGTGGCAATGACTGATTCTTTCTCATTATTCCAGCCAGGCACCTCAAAAGCAAGTGCAAAGTGTGTAGCCTGAAAATGACAGAACAAAAGCTCAATTAGAATTGTGACATAAAAACACTTTCATCTCAAACACACTTGTCCAATGACGGGAAATCTGTCATGAGTACCTCTTCACCAGTGTGTTGGCGAAAATCTCCACCAACATATTGAGATTTTGGCTCTGCTAGACGAGGTTCATCAGGAAGGTCAGAAGTTAATGGCTCAACAACTTTTAAAAGTTCCTCGTGTTCAACCCCACTTGCCGCCAGTACCATACGTGAAGCAGTGAAATTGTCCTGAAATTCCCAGATCATATGAGTACAAAAACGACACTAACTTAAGTAAACGACTGTAATCAGAGAGATGTAGATGCGGTCTTACCATCATAAACTCCTCCAAGAGTTCCCCATTTAACTTGTCCAAAGCAGATTCTGGTGCGTACAGAGGATTTGCCAATGCACCTGAATAACCAGCAGAATGAACGGCCTCCATGAGGAGGCCCATAGGGTTCTTTGCAAGTTCCGCTATCTCTAGCTTCACCTTCCGTAGCTGTGTAAAAGAGCATCGGCACATGATAAAAAGTCACATAAAGTTTTCGCCAACTTATCAGAATAACACAACGGAAAAGAGAATTTTACCTCCTCATTCACTTCCCAATCCAAGAAAGCAGGGTTCCTCACACTGTCAATAAGAACTTCAACCATTTCAGGCATATAGGTTTTAAGAGCATCAATAGTGTAACTCATTTGCTCTCGAGAAGCAGAGGCCGATGTGTTTCCTCCAATAGCCTCTATTTCCCTCACAAGACGTAAATGGCTCCTGTTTAACGTACTCTTGAAAGCCATCCTTTCAAGCAAATGCGTTGCTCCATGGTAATAAGGCGCCTCATAGATAGAACCACAATTAACATACAAACCAATCGAAGCTGCCGGATTCTGACAAAACAAATCACCAACACAAATTTGCTCAGTTCTGCATTTCCACAGTTTTCTTCAGAGAAATCATACATAAAGATAAGTTTGTTTTTTTACCGGAGTCATCTCCGAGGCAATCTTGAAACCATTTGGAAGAGTAGTGATCTTATGTTTACTTGGCTCAATGTGGTCAGCAAGTGGCGGAGGAAGCGATACTCCCTGTAACGGCATGTCCAATGAAGTAAGCATACCAGAGGAACCACCAGTCAACCAGCTCAAGAAACCTCCGGACGAAGAAGAAGAGGAACTAGTCGCAACAGCACTAGAACTCGCATATCGAGACACCGGTCTCAAACCTCGGCTTAACGATCCCTACAAAACACAGAAATATGAATGCATCATTAACAAAGAACCCATTTTTTTATAATGGAAACGAAACTCAAAATGTATCGCATATGAACAATTCATGATCCAAAATTGAAATAAACAAATTCATTTCTCTTAAATCGAAGATTAATCTAAAACTAATGAATTGACTTAAGAAATTACGAATACACACAAAAAAACAAAAATCTCTTAGAGAAAGAAATCAAATTTGTAAAACCTAGAAAAAGTAATAACGGTATCATCATCACCAATAATCAATCGAAAAAATCTGAATCCAGATCTACGAAAGTGTCAACGAAAAAAAAATCACTAAATCGGAACCAAATCTTTTCTCCTACTCTAAAGTTTTCCAATAGTAAAACGGAGAAAGGTTAGGGTTACTGACCTTAAGAGCCCTAGCTCGTGAAATTGCAGTGCGATACATGACGAACTCGGGAACCCTAAATCGGAGGAAAAAAAATTAAGAGAGGCTGAGGAAGATGAAATTA